TTCAGCAGGAGTGGGCGGGATACAGAGGGAAAACACATGACAGACATAAATGCGAACATGAACGGTGGCCATGTGCGAGGCAGAGGTCAGTCAACTGCCACAAAAACAGGAGGAAAGCAACAATCGAGCACGGCTGTGTCCTGTTTATCTGATCGCCACATGGCTGCCTGAGGTGTAAAATATTTAACAGATAAATCCTGTTATTTTAATGCATTGTTTATGTGGTTCTTTGGATGAGGTCCAACTTGTGTGTGAACTAAAACCAGTTCAGAAACACTGTTTAATAAAATTAGTCCATAATGAGACAAAGTCACTTTTTGGAAGCAGTGGCTGATTTGTGTCTATGAGCTGAGCTTTCAAAGAACCATGAATACCAAAACCAAAATACCAGGAATTTTAACACTGAACCCAAAGCTGGCTGCATGCACAAGGATATCCTACAGCTCTGGGATTGGACTGATGCTCAATATGGAACGAAAACAAAGAGTTAAACAGCAAAAGCTAAATGTTATCTCCCTACACGATTGTCTAAATGCTCTTTCAAAACCTCCCCCACAATGCCAGGAATATCATTCTGGCAAAGAAATATGAAATGCCTTTAATTAAATCATGTGTTTGGCCTAAAACAGTGAAAACTGAAGAATCTTTAGAATCTTTAAAACTCGCCATGTCTCATTTGTCTTTATGTGTAGGATGTAAGCTCCTCCATGGGTTGTTAACACTCACTGAGGGCTATGGATATAGGATTATGCAGAGTCTGTTGTTTCACCCCATTATTGTTGGAGGGAAATGATTTACTGAAGTGATGAAGTTATACATTAGCATGGTCAGACATGAGCATCCTTTTTGTTTTGTTTTTAAAGTGAAAAAAAACTAAATTCTTATATTTCTTAACATATAAAGCTTTATTATCTGATTCATGAATAAAGACAAATATAACCGCACAGCCTATAACTCACAGTATATGTGTTTGTAGCAGCAAAACTAAAAATTATACACCATCTAATTGAAGGAATGCTATACAAGAGATAAAATATCCACTATAAAGTATGACTACACGGCACTAAATATTATTAAGGTCACTACGAACTTTATTCCTGAGTTTACGACACTTTATATGTTCCTACGCAGCAATATTATAGGTACCTTTTTTCCCATTTTGTGCCATAATCTTCCCATTTAAATTAATATTCCCTTTTATTTTATCATCTTAAAGATCACTTGTTTCAAACAAATGCCTGAAATGTGGAAACTGCAGTGGAAAAAAATGCAGCTATCTCTTACTTGTTTCACTCTTTGAGTTGCTGAAATAGTTTGTTTTGCAGTGTACCACCCAGCTGCCATCATCGGGAATTAGCAAAACTGAAAGCCTCGTCTTAGTGCCCGTTCTCAGCAGTGCACTCCCCCACCTCCTCCTCCTCCTCGGCCCAAAGCCCATGCATATCATAGATAAAAATAAGTGCTCACCATTATCCGTGGGCACACAGCGTTATATTGTGGATGCTGACATTGCTCTTACCTGGCAGTTGGTGCTTTTACTATATTAATAATGGAGCAGGCGCCATCCATCATGGGGATATGAGGCTGCTAATCATGTCAGTTCCCTGCATATTCACTCCTTTCATCAAAAGAGGAGGAGAAGTAGTGGGAGAGAGGCAGAGGAAGACAGAGGGGAAAGGGGAAAAAGAGGCAGAGTGACGGTGAGAAGCAGAGATAAACAAAGAGAAGGGGAAATGATGGGGGGGGAGGGGAAAAGAGGGAGATGGAAGGGGACAATATCAGTGTGCTGAACACATGACAGATGCCCTTGGCCTTTTGCTGAATGGCTTCCCTGTTGGCAGGAGTTAACCAGTGTATTTAAACAGGACAAGACGAATGGGACCTCTACTCCCCCTGCTCACTGAACCAGCCCATTTCTATTCCAACTCACAGCCTTCCCCCATGTGGGCATGCTAATATGGTTAGCTGACATTGGCAGGGTTAAAACTTCATAACGGCATTTTATTGTGATGTTCACTTTACTCTAACCTTTCCTATTTGGCAAACCTGGTCGCATGAACTTCTGCTGAGCATGTGGGGAGTTTTTCAGCATTTTTTTGCGCCGCTCGAAACAAAAGTTGCTTGGTTTCCTTATCAGAATGAGAAATTCTGGGATTATTTCACCTGTTTCCAAAGCCGTTTCACTTCTTTTGAAAAGAGATATCATTCTTCTCTAACATAATATAACTGAGCTACCAGAAACAAGTCGATTTGCATTGAAAATAGCACCTGATGTTTGCAGGAACCCCCCCCCAGCTCACCTCTCTATCCATTAGTCTCCTGCAACCGAGGGGACCTTGAGTGTCGGCGCTTTGCTTTGCTTCATTTTGCCTCATTTGGTGTAATATGACATCCGTATGCCTTGATGTGTTTGAACATAACATTTGCACAAATATGGTGCAATTTCTTCTTGTTCAAATTGCTTCAGTGGAGTATTAGGGTAACCTTTATGTTTATAGAAAATAAAAATAGACAAATTTTCCTCCAACATCTGTCCCCGAACATGCCTTTTGCCCAGCCATTAGCACAGAAAAGGAAATTTGCTTGTGATTGATGGGCCCGGTTAAATAAAGATAAGATTTTGAAAACGTGGCCATATGTCTGCCGTATGCACCATCTCTTTTGGCTCAGAGCCTGGATACAGAACATCTTCAATATCCTGACGTCTTCTTCATGCTGCTCTTCCGTAGGGGGAGAGGTGGGGGAGAGGGTGGAGGTGGAGGTGGGCAACGAGTAAAGGGGGAGGAGGGGTGGATTTCAGAGCGACAGGCCGGCTGAGGAAAGCGATAATGAGCGCTCTGGGCTGTCTGGGGTGCAAACTGCTTCCCGCGTGAGATAGCTGCAAGGGAAGGGAAGGGAAGGGAAGAGAGAAGAGGGGTGGGGTGGTGGGGGGTGGTGGTGGAGAGAAAGGAGTAAAGGGTGCAGGAGAAAGTGCCCTCTCAGCTGGGTGATGTTTGATGCGGCGCTGCTGCTTCCTACGCTGGGAAAAGCGAGCGGAAACACAGCCAGTGAGGAGGCCATGAGGGGCAGCTGTTAAGTGCCAATTAGGCGATGATGAGTGGGAGACGGAAATACCCATTTGCACAAACACTCCTGCAAGCAGGCAGGGAGGAGTAGTCAAAAAGTGAAACAAATAGGGCCTAAACCCTGACAGTTTTCGCGGAGTCGCTCTCCTTCTCACCCTCTGTCTCCCCTCCTGCCTGTTAGGTAACGTCACATCAGTGTCGGCAGAAAATGTGGGTTACAATTTGCCGTTCCATTTTGTTCTGTCTCCGTCTGGCCTCTTCTGAAGGCCACTGAAAGCAACGTTTTGCAAGAGCCTGTCACATTACGCCAAAGAACAATGCCCCGTGTCAGGCGTCCAATTAGTGAGCGAATTCACTCACGTATTTAGTCCATGACACAGAAAATGATAAGGTAGGATGATGGAGCTACTATGCTTTTTTTTTCCCAGTCATAGATTAGCTTTTCAAAGGAATCAAATTCAGTCATTGTCAGTGTGTTCATGTTTGTGTGCATCTGTTAGTGTCTGTGTATCTTTGCATGTGGGTGTACAGCCCCATCTATACCTGGGACATAGTGTTTGTGTTAGGACTCCTACAGGGTCAGGGAGAACTGGGAGTTAAATGAGACCAGATGCAGAAAATGAGTAGAAGTCGGATTATTCAGTTTGCCTGAATCTTTTATTGGCAGTATCTGAGGCTTAAATTGGATATCAAGGAGACCCCATACCAAGCCAAAATGAGAAACAAACCAAAACGGCTGAGGAAAATACAGAATATGAATGCCTATAAATGCCTATACTTTTAGTTAGTTGACATGAATTAATTACTTAATGATGCATTTAATGTGTTTTTGAAACACTGTCATTTTTTATTGCGCTGATACACTTTGAGAAGATACAAAATAAAGAAAAACTTGCTCCCCTGAAGAGTATTCTGGAGAATTCAAGCAGCAAAAATGGTAAGAACAAATCAACAATAGCCAAAACAAGCACTATGTTATTGAAATGCATATGGAAACAGCAGACATCAGAGCTACACAATAATTCTGCACAAAATTCCTGAAACAACTAGACATCCATGTGTAGCACTTGGTGTGTGAGGATGTGTTTCTGGCTGTGACTTGGCAAAAAGCAGGAGCCGTGAGGTCTTCCATAGGGAGCTATGGCAATGGTAGCTATAGCGAAAGCCTTGTTTGCAGCAAAAGATGACACTTCACATCATCTCAATTCAGGACCTACAGGTGCACACACTGTCCTTGAGTCATAGAAACACATGATGCCGCATGATGATTCTATCCTTTCTTCAAATGAAACTGTACTACAGTCCAAAATTACAGTGACAGATGCACAATGGCATCAAATGTAAAAAGTGCCATTCGTCATCAGGGTCACCGACAATGAATGAGTCTTTTCATGTCCGAGCTCCCAGTCAATCTTGTTTCTATGCACGCCGCACATCTGAGGCCTCAGTAATTTCCCCCGGCTGCCGCCTCAGATCAGCCTGCGCCATACTGTGTTTTGTATATTCATGTGTGTACCTTCCTATCTTAATCCTAGCTATTACTCGCATGGCTGGCCATGTCAAGGGGAGATTTGCTCACTCACAGTGAATGGGCCAATATTGACAGCACGCCCACCGCATCAGCGATCAGTGTAAGGGCTTAGCGCGCACTAGATTCACAGGTTTGAAGCTGAATTCAATGAGGAGGGTGGTGTGTTGGAAAACAATCCTCACAGGGAATCTATGCAAATACTAAATGTTACTCTTAGCCTGTCAGGAGTGATAACTGAACAGTGGGTGCTGTTAACGTATGTGATGGGCTGTCAATGTCCTACTGCTTTAAATGGTGACACATTTTATTGCATTTCCTGTATTTGTCATTTCACGGGTTGCCAAAGTCTTTTGGCTCAACATGGACCTAAATCCGTCATGCCTAGATACAAAGCTAATATCACGTTTTCCTTTTTTTTTTTTTTTTTTTTTTTGGGAACACCTGTGTTGTTTTGAAAAGTTGCTAATAAAAGCAAAAAGGAGCTTTGATTTCAGTGTGCAGGTGCTTTTCCATAGTATTCTCATTGATTGTTCCGATGTCCAGCACCTGGTTTTGTGGATGTGCACATGGCTACTCGAGCCTAGCGATGCATGATGTCCCAGAATTGGCTCAAGTATGATAGTCTGAGTCCAAGTCCTGAAACCGGCCCAAAGCTGACCCAAGTTCTGCAAACTGGAGCTGATTGTCAGAAAAATCCATCCAGAAATCCCCCTCCCTTAAATATTCAGGCATATATGGGCCAGAAAATGGCTTGATTCTTCTATGGGGGATGTTTTCTGAATGTCGACGCTCTAAATGATTGATAACATTTGCAATAGATCTGTAGCTTAGTGCTTCATCACGTCTTGACCACTGCACTTCAATAAAGCCCACTTCAGTTAAGCTGCAGTCCATACTGACCAGCCCTGGCAGCTGGTCGGTGTCAACTAGGGTTAGGTCACTTGAAGGGGAAGCAGGGTCAACTACCCTTTACATGCAAGAGCTGGGTTTCCATGTACCCATAATCCACTCTGAAGTGTCCTTGAGCAAGACAAACCCTTCCTGGTTGCTGCTCTATAGCTGACCCCTGTGACCCAGTAGAAATGAACATCTCATTCCCCAGTAAATGGATTTTTGTCCTGATGTTATTCAGTTCTGTTTGAGTTCAGTTCAGTTCATCCAAGTTCATTTTAAGTCAGTTTACTTTTCCTTTTTCTCTACAGTTCAGCTCAATTCAATAAGGTAGAAGAAAACTCTCGCTGTCGTTTATCAAGCACTGCAGCAGTGTCTGGAGCAGCAGCTGGCCCAAACCCCAACTGATCTCTGCCATATAGAGGTCAAAAGTTGACAAGAGTCTGACTCCCCTTTCATCCCACAAACCGGGAGCTTCTCGGTACATTTTCCAGAGGCATGTCACCACTTCAAAGGTGTTAGCGAAATGATTTGCAGACGAAAGCCACGCCGCTTCTCTCTCTTGGCTGGTTCACAGTTGTCGCTGTCGCACTTTGTTTTGCTTAAATGGAATGATTGAGTCCTGGCTCTGTGATGCCTTTTCAAGGAAAACCAGCCTCACATCATTAGCGGTGACATTAGCAGGTGACAGCAGCAGCCACAGAGCCACCGATGCACTGAGGTTCAAAGCGCCGTAGCTGCGTAAACAGATGAGAAGAAATAAAGTCAGACAGAGAGAGAGAAAGAAAGCCGAGAGTAAAGTAACAGTCGGCTCAGAGATGATCATATATGTCCAGATTTGTGTTCCAAAATATATCAACCACTAAAAATGTGGCAATTTTTCTCACACAGTGACAGCAGTGTTTAATTTTGTAATCAAAGCTCTTTAGCCTTACAGCTTTTTTACTTAAAACTGACAAAAGAGCATTATATATTTACCCCTGTTTTGTAATACACTATTTTAAACTTCTGGATGTAATGATCAATACTGTATAAAAAGCCATGCAGGGTTGCATTTCCTCTGTACTTCTCCAGTCTCCCCAGTGCAGAGGCCCTGTAGTCAGATACTTTAAATTCCCTTAAGACTATCGATTCAGGCTGCAGGTCGCAGAGTCCGGCGCTTCCACAACAGAGAATACTGACCTTAAGTCAGGCAGTAAAGGAAAGCAAATTCTGCGAAGTTGGACCATGAAGTGCTGTAAATAGTCACATTTATAGCTGAAATGTGATGTGGTAATTAGATTTGCTGCAGAAGAACATGAAGGACAGGGAGTGGGTGTAGCCTTATGATAGTCATATGATAGTGAGGTTGTATCTGAATAATAACCCTTTGGCTGTTTGCAGTGGTGAATACTGCGTCTTTTGTGTGATGTAGCAAAGAGGGGGCAAATTGTACGTTTGGGTGTTTACTGCTAAAAACAACTCTTTGCAGACGAATGAAGAAAATGATGTTATTCTCCAACAAGACGGACGCAATGAGCCCCAAATGGGTGACACTTGTTGGTGATGTTTAGCAGGTCAAGGCCCATTCTTATAACGTCATGGACTCATTTCATTACAACACCTTTCATCCTATCCATCCCATGACGCTTACACGGATGCAATGGATTCGTCATGGGGTTTTGGGTTGATCCAGCATCGCCGCACAAACAGTAAACAAACTCCTTGTTCTAAGAGCGGGGCGTCTATTTATTTAGCTGAACAGCGCTCCCCATTAGTGTTTCAATTGCTGTCGGAAATAGAGGCAGTCCACATTAACAACCTCGTCCTCTGTGCATAATGCTCTCGGCGTCAGCGTGCCTTGTCATTACGACCATTTCTGCTCCATTATTTCAACACCAAATCCCCCTTTTCGATTCGCCACCCCCCTCCCGTTTGCCTCAGTACAGTGGGGCTCGCACTTCAAACTGCTCTAAAATGAGCTTGCTTTGCTGGGCCGGCAGCTAGCCAGACCAATCATCCATCTGCAATAATAGAAATCTTCTGGCTGATGATAGACTGAGGCAATCACTGGGCAGGCTGAGTGGGCTCTTCAGTCTGGCCTCTCCACCCCTGCTGCTGGTTGATAGCAGGGGGAGGCTGGCACTGGTATCTGGTAGGTAGGCCTCTGAGCGCCCTGGCTGGCTGGCAGACTGGATGGATACACATGGAGGGTAAAGGGAAGGGGAGGAAAAAACAATCATTTAAAAAAAACAGAAAGAAATATTCAAGCCTGGGCAGATGGAGCACCATATGTTTATCACTTAAAGTAACAGTTTGTTTCCGGGAGAGCTTTCGTGTTTTCCCACCTGTGTGACAATTTTATTTCTCTTTTTAATAATTTAAGCAGATTTACCTAACATATATGGTTTAACAGAACTACACATATAAATAATATCTTCTGATCCCATGCAGCTCAGTAGCATGCATCCAGGGGTAGTGAGCTGAACTGACTGGCAAGCTCATGGCTCCGAACAGGAACTATTGGGAAGAGAAGTATCCCTTTTCCACCAAAAAGTCGGTTCAGGATTCGACTGTGGGTGTAAAAAGAGACACACAGCACCAGACAGTGATGATGCATGTCAAGAAAATATTCAACAAGTACAAAATCATTTAACCCCGAGCGTTAGAGAAGCTAAAGTTTTTGAGTTATTTTTCTGTTGGAGCACTGTATGAGCTTGACCTAGACCCAACAGCAAACAAACTTTTTCAAGTTTATCCCGGCCTGAAGTCAATATTTTAACATCAAAACTCTTCCCCACTTTCCATTGCTCACCCTTTATATTCCTTTCTTTCTACCCCTAAACCTGTTTTTCTCATAGCTTGCTGGAATAATTTATCGTAGTGAAAGTCTGTAGAAAAGTAGCAATGAAGCTCTTACCAACCATTAGTTAGCCAGCCCTCAGGTGCACAAACAAAATCTGTAAACCTCTCTTGTAATATATTGTATTTTCAGCCTTTCAGCTCAGATTTGTCAAGTCCATAGTCTTAAAGTCTCTACTTTCCATACAGCGTATTTTCAAACTGTTACGCAAAAAAGTAAAGACATTGAAAGCCATCCACGACTTTGTGTCGTTCTAGAGAGGATGTAATTTACACATGAGCTAGTGCTTTGAAAATGTTTCTGCATGAAAAAAAAAAACATTTCTTTGCTGTTAATCTGCCCCCTACAAGTGTTTATTCATGACTTCTCTACTGGATGGCCATGCAGCAGGATAGTCGTCCAACAGTCATGGCTTCTTTAGATTCTACCACCCTTCTTCTCTTTCATCCGCTCATTATTTCTCTCTCAACCATCCTGCCTCCCACAGCATCTCGGCTCGCTCCACGCCCCGAGCACCGCCATCCCTCAATCATCCCAGGCTCTCCACACCTTCACTTCGACCCCGCTCCATCCCTCCATCCATTCTTTCACCTCGTTCATCAGCATGGAGAGCGTCTCATTCTGCCCAGGCTAATTGGCTCTAATTAGAGTCATTCAGCAGGGGTTAATCAAGGATGACTTGCACAGATTATGACGGGTGGGGGGAGGCATCGGAGGCAACAGACAGCCTATGTGCCACACCGGCAGGCACGTTATCTCTCCTCCCAACACAGCCTGGGGACTTGGCATAGATAAATGTGTTCAAACCTACGCCACGAAATGATGTTTTAGGACATGTGCTCCTGAAGAACATCCACCCACTCCTTCTGTAAAAAGTCTGAAAAACTTACTTGTTGAAAATGATACGTGATGCTCTACTTTTTTCATCAAATTTCAGACAATATGTTCAAATGAAGCAATTCATTTCATTACCGTCAGAGCGGCTGAAAATATGTGATTTGCATCAGTAATGTGATATTATCTCTCGCCTCCCGAATGACACCTGTTAAAGTTAAAAAAATACTTTTAAAATAAGACGTTTCTGCTCAGGTATATACTTTTGCAAATGAGATGGGGTTTGTGGAAGATGAGTTTTAAAACATCTGCTGTTGCCTCATCTGCGATTGTTTGACAGCTGGACAGTTTTCTCAGAAAATGAGATGTTCAAAATTTGAAGTTATTGGTGGCTGAGGACTCAACTTGGATCAGTAAAGATTTTTGGATAGAGGTTAAAACTAAATTTAGTTCAATCAGAAGAGAATTAATTTTTGAATTAACAAAAATATTCAATTATGTGCACAATGAAGATGAGAAATGTGAAAAGTCTTTAGTCCGATTAGACCCCTTTGTGATCTCACTGTATTTGAATGGGTTGGTGAAGCCGTGATTAGTATAGGAAACCCCCTGATGGAGTCTAGACACTGGTGGTGGTGGTGGTGGTGTGGTGGTGGTGGTGAAGGAATTGAGAGAATGCTAAAGATGTGGATGTGTTGAGGAGTGGACTGATGAGCTCAACCCGGACACTGGATATGATGAACTGGAGGTGAAAGGGGTGGTGGCATTGAAATGACAGCTGAAAGCAGCAGGGAGGAGAACAGATTTAAAGTTTAATGTGGAGCAGGTCCAAAGTACACCTTGAAATACAAGGTGCCTAAACAATGACTATTTAACTTCAAACTTCTAATGAACTGTTCACTGTTCAACCAAATTGAGCCTCGTGTCTGAGCAGGATTTGTACAAATATTCAGTAAGTAAAAGAGAGGAGTCTCAAAGTGTCATCAGGAGAGAGGAGATGTGTTGAGGTTTAACAACTAATTTGTTGCTCAGTAGCGTTAACAGTGAGATTAAATCTGTTCTTCAAGGTCTCAAGGTGTTTGTGTGTGGCACTGTGCAATATAGTCCATTACTGTACGTGAACACTGCAAGGCCCTGCACACCCACAGATGTTTTTATGTTATTCTGGCTTATTAGACCTCTGCTTAGGTGGAAGTTGGGTAGAAAAGGGATTCACAGCGAGGATATTTTGTGTACATAATGAAATGTAATATATTAAATTCTATTAAGCTGTTTTGGTCTCAGGGTCTTGGCATTGTTCATGCTGACTCACTGCCACACTGTCATGGCTTACTAGCACACTTGAATAGAACAGAGCCATCCTTAATGGTATTAGTAACACATGCTTTTCCTACTATGACAAGTCAAAATGTCTGCTGTGAAAAAGGCCTATTAGGCAAGAGCACAAGAGGCATTATTTTCTTACAGTGTATTTATAGACCAAATAATGAGTTGACTATATAGCACAAGAAGCACAAGAAGGTGTAAAATATCCCGGCCCAACAGAGCCAAAAAATACACAGGAGAATGGGTGAGAGGTCAATCAAGCTTCAGTTGTCATGATATAAACCCATTTTTAAGATTGTTTTCAAAGCTCCTGAAGAGGCTTGATTAAGATTATGTGACAAGTTAAGTGTGACATTCAGTTTTTAAAAGTCAAATTCTATTCATGTGGCCCAAAATCATAAATCACAATTTGGCCCAGGAGGCTTTACAACACCATCTGTCTTTCATTTGGGTAAAGAAAAATACATTTCAATTTTAATTGTACAGCGCCAGTTAATCAAGTTAACTAAGGACACTTTTCAAATAGAGCAGGTCTAGACAGTACTCCTTATAAGATTATTTACAGAGACCCAATAGTTCCCACCATGAGCAAGACCTTGGAGACAGTGGCAAGGAAAAACTTCCTTTTAAGAGGCAGAAACCTCGAGCAAAGGAAAGACAGGTAAGGGATGTTGAGTGTACAGAAATCACATTATATACAGATTGATATCAGTTTCTGATATATGAAGATAATAAAAAGGAAAAGAATGTGGGTAGAGGAGGACGTTGAAACAACTTCAAATGTCTCCACTAAGGAGATCTGGAAGAGGACAAGCAAAAAATCACAATATATACAGATCTTGATGACAAAAATACCAATAATGTAGATTTGTAAAACATAGGTGAAGAGTAGGATCCTGGAGGACATTGAGCAAGCTGCAAGACCGCCTCCGTGGAGACCCAGACGAGGACAAACCACACAAGCACAGGAGAGACAGCGCAGCATTCATACAGAACACGTGCAAACTACAGAGACAGGAGGGGAGAAGAGACGCTTAACTCTCCTGGGGGACAAACTGGTTAGACCCTCGACACCGTCATCCTAATTAATGCTACTGAGCAAACAGCTGACACACCTGGAGCTTATAAGCTGTTGTTACATCAACACCTTTACTTCTCCTGGTGATGGTTTAGGATGTAAGCAAATGTGCCTCAGGAGTAACTGTAATATAAACATGAAACCATCTCTTTCTTCATCGTGGAGAAAAGAACCTCAAATATGTGTGTAAAAGATAGACAGAGTATATGAAAATGCAGCTGACACACTCATTTTAACTATGCAAGAATGTTTTCATTGCAGGTCTATGAAAACACCACCTGACACGTTTCCGAGCAGCCTTCCTCACACTCTTCATATCAGTGTCGTATGCACAATGCAATATCGCAGGTCTCTTTATTGCCTTCCCCTGTTCATATATAAAGAGACCTGTGGTAATTATTTAGGAGGGCCGCACTGTACGGAAAACCCTCTGGGACTGAAAGTATTATGGCTGGGCCTCACACACACACACATACACACACACTGGCATACTGGACAGAGAGTAATGGCCCAACCCTTGGTGGTAATGGCTTCTTTTTCTGCGTGAGAGTGTGTGCGCATGGTGGCATACATGTATTCATCTAAGCATGCACCTACCAAGTCTATTTGATGTGACTAGTCCATTAGATTTTCAATGGGCTCCTACACCATAATCCTGAATACACGGAGGGTTTTTTTCTTCGATGGGCTCTTCATTGGAACTGCCCCGCAGTACAGATTGCTCCTGTCACTGTTGAAGCAGACAAATTCCCTCTCATATCCTCTGCATATGGGATGGGATTGTCTCGTTATGGCCCTGTTACATTCCCCCACGGCAACATTAGCCGCCGGCTGTAAAAAGACTATTAGGATCCAAATCATTCTGGACCGAAGACGGCGAGGCTAAGGGAAGTTAGCGAGAGGTGATGGGAGAGAGAAAAGAAAACGTAGGGAGAGATAAAGCAAGAGAGCGGTGGATTAGGTGGCGTGAGTTGAGAGAGCTTGTTGTCAGTTCAGAGACCTCCAGCATAGCTCTACAAGCACACATGAACTCTCATGTATTTATATATATATATATATATATATATATACTGCACACTCACACAATCTCAGCAGCAACATAGCCACCCTAATCCACCGCAGCCAATCAATAAGCACTTGACAGGTACTGAAATACAATATAGAGAACAGCACTAGCCTGCTGGTTCTTGTGCTCCATTTAAACTGCAGTTTGACAGTTTAGGAGGGAAGCAAGGTGTGGGGGGGAGTGTATTTGGAGATGTCTTGATTGGCCCTGACACAGATCCTATAGAGGAACTGAACATTTGGCTACACACACTGCCAACAAATATTGTTTTTTTAAAAAAAGTTATTTTTTGTTTACTGTTGAGTTTTAAGATATGGCTTTAAAAATAAACAGTTTCCATTGAAAACAACTTGTGCTCAATCAAGTGTCATTTTGTTGTATTTCAGAGCATTCGTTGGTCAGATTTGCTCTGATTTCAAAGGACTTGTTAATTGCAAAAACAATCTATTGTATAAGCGCAACAAGCTGTGCCACCTGACCTACAGGCATTTTGAATTGTCATAGTAGGAAAAGCACGGCTACATTAATTATAGCTCTGTTCCAGTGTCCCAGTGAGCCAGCACAATACCAGGGCCCTGAAACGGACACGGCTAAATAGAATTCACTTTAGTTAATAGCACCTGTGTTTTTCCTACAGTGACATGTCAAAATGTCAGCCATGAAAAAGGCCTATGACATGCCCTGTTGCTCGGTAAGCTAAGCTATTTTTGTTTTTCTTTGCAAACTCATAAAGGAGAAAACTAGCAAGCCATTCTGAGCGCATAATGGTGACACCAAACTGGATGAAAAGCAATGTATAAAAGCACTTTGGATTGCCATAAATAATGTGGATAAATGCCTTACAGGTACATTCATTTCCCACATGAAGCCTCAAAAATGAATGGAGCATCAACGTACCTTTTTCACCGCAGACATTTTGACTTGTCATCGCAGGAAAAAGCATAGGTGAAACAAATATTACACCACATCAACGTACTGATAGAAAATGTTGTGGTGGAAATGGGTTAAAATGATTTAGTATTCATTGTAAACTTTGTTTGTTGTTGGGTATTTTTTCGTGTACACCTGCGTAGACACCTGGTTACCACCAATCTTGGGTTATTTTAAAGAAAGAAAGAAAGAAAGAAAGAAAGGATGAAAGGAAGAAAGAACGCATCCTTAATTGTTTTTCCACCCTTTCTTTCCCTCTGTCTTCCGTGGCAGATGAGGATCCGGTGCTAATGTCCCTCTTCCATCACGCTCCTCTCCAGCTGCAAAACGCTGATTGGAGCTGGAACCGCCTCATGATTGCACTCTTTTATTGGGAGCAAAAAGAAAAAGAAACAGAAAGAAGGAAAAAAAAAGAAAAACTCATTTAATTAATTCTGTCTATCTCTCCCTCCCCATCTTCTAGTGTTTTGCGAGGTGGAAATTGGAAACGCCCTGCAAATGCGTCGGGGAGGCATCCCAAACCGAATCGAGGTGCCATTACCCCGATGGGTGAAGCACAGTGGGGCTGAAAAATCTCCGGCTTGCTCTCTCTCGCTCAATGATTGTCTCATCAGCAGGAGTAATTTGGGTTTTCTGGTTATCGCGTCATTTCTGATGCCGACGAGGGGAGAGACGGGGAGAGACGTAATTACTTCTCTCGGCAGACGGAGAACAGATGAGGAATTGGGGAGTAATTAATAACTGGCTGGTACCCTACTGGAGTAGATGCTATATCTCCCAGCGCCGCCGCTGCCTCCTCCGAGACAGACTTTACTCACTGTGAGAAACGAGTGGGAACATACTCTAGTAGCAGCCTGATGGATCAGCAACAGGCATTTCAAAGAAGGGAAGGGTGGGGGTTGGGGGGGGGGAGAGAGAAAAAGAAATGAGACAGCAAGGTAAGAGTGGAAAAGGCGGGGGAGGGAGCAGAGGGAAAGAAGATGAGATGAAGGAGTGATGGGAGCTGAGGAGAGAAGACAGAGTGAAGATGGGGGATGAAGTGGATGGATGGCGAGGGCTGAGATTGGCCTCGGCTTTAGTGCACCTGAGAGGCAGGGGAAAAGGAATGAGAGGGGCACACAGGTAAGGAGGAAAGGTAGAGGAGAAGAGGAAAAAGATGCCAGGCTAGTCGAGTACATGCATTAAAGAGAAGTCTTTTGATAAGAGGCTGTCAAACGGGCCTTTTCTGAGTCACTTTCCCGCTCGTGTGGAATAAATCAAGAATATATTACAAAAGGATACACTTCTCCTTTTCTTACCGGCCGTTTTCATTTCCTCACCTATGTTTGAATAATGTTTGGCTCTTCCGCTCACATCTCCGCCACGCATAGATTACTTTCGTGAAGCTCCCTGGCAACCGCATGCACAATGCTGCCAGGGCTTCCTATCTTATCTTCTCCGTCTGAGGCGTGTCGCTTCAGCCTTGACAACACATTAGTCTGCACTTTGCTGTCAAACATGCCTCTCCTTCTATATTTCTCTCTCTCTCTCTCTCTCTCTCTCTCTCTCTCTCTCTCTCCGCTAAAGTGCTTCTGAGCCACCCCTCAGAAAAACTGACCTCCCTGCACAAAAAGGGGCATCATTTTTTTGTGTTTTTATTAAAATTAACTTTCTCCACGCTATCTCTCTCCCTTCAGCGCTGATGTGGAAGTCTGTTCAGCTTCCCATTCTCATTCTTCACCACTTCCTCCTCTCCGTCTCCCCTTCTCTTTAATAAGATCTTGGCGGCGGCAGCAGCGGCGGCGACGTGTCTGGTGTCGGATGCCAGGAACGGAGCGAGATGATCGCCGCTTGTCAAAACACAATCTGGAGGCTTTGGTGAAGTCAACAAGACGAGAGACGGTATCTGAGAGGGAGAAGAGGAAGGCCGGTGCGGTGATGTTTACCTGTCTGTCTGGGGTGTAACACACAAACACACACATGCAGTGATCGAACAGGAGCACAAACCGATAGCTATCACGCACAATCGCATAAAATAGTTCACACACTGGACATGCATATCATTTTAGCACATATATAGAACACACACACACACACACACACACACACACACACACACACACAACACAAACGGTGTAGAAATCCCATGTACGCGCACACACTCATACCATCCATGATTCACCGTTTTCACAGGAGCCAAGTGACTCTTCTTCGTGAGATACGGTGATGAATGTTGTGTTAGGACCCCATAGCTGCACTCTAATATTCAAAGACAATGCATAAAGGCGTATTGAGGATCGGCGCAGATAAAGCCACAGTCGGACAAAGAGGAAGTGAAAGGCAGAGCTGGTGAAAGGTAAATGAGTTTGAGTGCACTGGAGAGGCTCACATTGTTACAGGCCAGTACCAATCAATCACACTCATCAGGGTCTCTGAGAGGGTTTATTAACAATTCAGGAAGCAGCCGGCCCCATTTTGACCATTAGCTGATTCCTGCTCTATCGCTCCGAGTCTGTCTCTATCTGCATCTCTTTTCCCTACGTGGCTCTTTCGTCTTCCTGCACACACTGCGGCCTTTAGCCTCCGCTCTTTACGCCAATCAGAAGGCTTTCTGTAGATCAGGGCTATCCTAAATGTGAGTTGATGGAGCAAGTGTGAAACCCCTACTTTCTTTTCCATACATCCTTACATCTTTTTGCCTTTTTTGCTGGAATCTTATCAGATTTTGGAATGATTCAGTCGCTATTTTGCCATTTTGCGTCAATATACCTCACCAAACTGTGCTGTTAGTAACAAAAATGCTGATTTGATCTACAAACGCATACAGTCTTATTTCAGGTATGCCTCTCTTTACAGCCTGGTGGTTATATAGCCAGTGTTTGTTCACAGCCAATTCTCCTATGGGTCACAGTGATGACGCCTGGCGGTTGCTAGGCAATTTGTGACGCAGCTGACTGCAAAGCCTGTGAAAAGTGAGCACGCAGGGGGTTCAGGAGCTCTGCTTAAAGTATACAACATCACATGGATCTGTACGCTCCCAATGAGCCACACTCCATCAGGTAAGAGGAGGTCTGTCTGTATTTGTTTCTCTGCCTCCTCCTCCTCCTCCTCCTCCTCCTCTTCTATCTGTTCACAACACCTGTGGAAAGCAGCTGGCCGGGTAGCAGGGTGCTTTGCATGGCACACACAGACAGAGGGGGCTGGTTAAACCCACTGGGATTACAGAGATGTTTCACACCATGACAACAGTCATAGGCCCCGCTGCTGATGCAACTGGCCACATGGGACACGGAGACGGGAAGGGAGAGGGGAAAGGTGTTTGCATGTGTGAGCAGGTGTTTCTGTGTGCACTGGAAGGTGTGCGTAAGTGAGATACTTGAATCTGTTTAAGCAGAAGAATAGGCGGTAACTTCATGCAATATAACAGAGGCAGGAGAATATATGTCTAAAGCTTAAAATGTAACAAAGGTGCAGGGCATGCAGAGAAAAAAAACATTGAATATTACAAAGTCCCAAAAGTTTAATGAGGCAACCTAGTGGACAAGTGGCTAAAACAGATGCTGTGTACAACAACATCCCCCGATTCAATTCCTGCAAGGGACCTTTACTGCATGCCCTGTTTGCTGTAATATTAACTGTCAAATTAAAGCAAAAAAAATCTAAGAAAATAATAATAATAATTTGCAATATTGAAATCAGGGTGGACATTGGATTTAAAAAATACAATTTACAATTACCTTAAACAGTCTGTAGCGAAACCATTTTTTGTTTTATATGTGATTACTAAGAGGGTCTCAGACATATAATCAGCAGCTCATTTGTGCAGCCACCTCATTTTTGTCTTCACTTTTCATTACAGGAAACATTTTCTGAGCTGTTAACCTGGCGAGAGCACCTTGTTAGCAATAAACTGCAGTGATCAGTGCAGCCCAGTGTTTCCTTGCAGCAGGAAACATAAGTTTTGGGGTAATTGGGAGTATACAATCTGTGTGTAAATTGCTTTAAACTGATGCCCTCCTTGCTGAAGCAAATCCAGAAGCAATATTGTTGCACCACATTAATATAGGCCTTTAACCTCTAATGGAAAATTTAAATCACCCTTCTCGTTTCATCGGCACAATAAGCACGATAAGAATTCAGCCTGCACAAGCCCACAATATC